TTATTTTAATTTCTGTTCAATTTTATCCATTTTTTTTGTCTGTTATTTCACTTTTATTTCATTTCAGGTTTTTTGCATTTTTTTCAGCTATTCTTTTTATTCTTCTTCTTTAATTTTAAATTCTTCTTTTTAGTTCTTTCAGGGATTTCAAATCATTTTAGGTATATAAATAATATCAGATAATGGAAGTCCGAACTAAGGAAATTCATCATGAAACATTGTCAATCACCCTCAAACAAACGTTGAAAATAACGTGTTAAGACACGAAAATGAAAAAAGAACACAATAATGGATTGGATATGAATGTAGGAAAAAACTTTAACACTCCTCCTGCCTTTACAATCAAAAGAAAATTTAGTCAAATTGGTGACACTCGTGAATCGTTGTGTAAATACATATTGTTTGTGTGGGTGTGCTGTGTGATATCCATTGGAAGTGGTCTCATCATGATTTGACAATGCATAGAGGTTACAACGAAATTGATCTTAGACTGTCTCCTTCGTACTTGATCATATTTGAACATTCCAGAGGAAAGCCAATGGTATCTTTCTACAAATGTTTTACAGATATTCGAGAAAAATTTTCTATTGATATGGGATTGTTGAACATTTTCTTCTTTCTTTGCCCTTTGAACACGTTGGTTTTTCGTCTCCAGCATCCATAAATTCTTCTTTTGTAAAGAAATCTAAGCATTGTAATGAACTCAGTTGACCAATTTTTGTGGTATCGGAAGAGACAAATCCCTGACATGTTTGTAGGTTACCGATGAGTGCCTACAGTGTTGCACATTAGTGTAGATTTGAACTGACCGAAAAAACTATCAATAAACTTGGAGTTACAATCATTAATTACTCATAATAATAATAACTCCTCTGAACCTAAATAAAACACGAAGAAATGATCAAACAGACAAAGCAACACAATAGGCACTTAAATCACTACATGGTTAATTCAAAGATGTCTTCACCCGGAGACAGAAGGATTAGTACTAGCTATACAAGACCAAGTCGTTGCCACACTAAACTACAGAAAAATAACTGTAATAATATTAGACGATGACCGTTTGTAAACTCTTAGCCGGAACAGACATACACGAAAGACATAACATCGCAACAAAAATTATGCACCAGAAAATAATAATAAATAATAATCTAAAAACAGAGAAACAACCTTATTACAAATATTAGCTGCAGCAACTTTTAGAAAACGAAGAAACGAAAATATACTGAGCCACAAAACTCCACACAGACAGAACCATAGCACAGAACAGACCGGATATTACATACATATTCAAACAACAGAAAATCAACTCTCTCATAGACGTAGTCATTCCAGCAGACGCAAACACTAAACAGAAAGAAGACGAAAAAATAGAAAAATACACACCCTTTGCTATGGAAATGAAGTATATATGGAGACAAGAACTTGTAGCAATAATATCGATAATCATGTCACCACAGGGAATACACCGCCATCATTTACTATTAACCTACAAAAAATAAACATCCACCCATTCACACACACACAGATACAAAAAGCAGTAATAATCAAAACTTGTAACACAGTCAATAAATGTTTGGAACCCCTAACCTAACATAAAAAACAATAGCCCTTTCTTTCACTTGAATTTATCCCGTACAGAAAGCAAATACCATTGAGGACGATCCTCTGTGAAAAATTCTGCTAATGATAATAATAACGCTTATTGTGCAAAAACAAGTATCAAACACAAAGGGAAAAGGGTTAGCCGAGGGCTATCTTCCACTCGTCCCATAAAAAAGCAAAAATTAGCATACAATAAAACTATAGATACACGGAAAAACAATATGATAATTGTACTATATTGATAATTGATATATTGAAAGAAGAAAAAACATACCTCAAATTTAGTGGTGGTATGATGTGGAACAGTAAATGTATCTTTTCTCAAGTTATTAGAATAATTATCGGACCGTTTGCTAATTAAACTGTGAAAAATATTGCTAATGATAATAATAAAGCTTATTGTGCAAAAACAAGTATTAAACACAAAGGGAAAAGGGTTAGCCGAGGGCTATCTTCCACTCGTCCCATAAAAAAGCAAAAATTAGCATACAATATAACTATAGATAACAGTTACAATACACGGAAAAACAATATGATAATGGTACTATTGAAACAAAAAGAAAAGTTACAAACGTTTCTGAACATCTACGAAATGAGTTTCCAAAGTTTTTCCAATTGATATATTGAAAAATTAATATATGCTATTCAGATAGTTCGGTCCAAAGAAGAAAAAACATACCTCAAATTTAGTGGTGGTATGATGTGGAACAGTAAATGTATCTTTTCTCAAGTTGTTAGAATAATTATCGGACCGTTTGCTAATTAATCTGTATAAGTAATCAGGAGTTTAACTTTCCAATAGTTTATAAAAAAATACAGATATGCGATAACGAATTCTAAACTCAATATCCAGATGATCTAATCCAGGGGTCGGCAAGTAGTTTTAGGTGGGGTCTGGATACTGTGGGATAATTTTAACGAGGTCCAGAAAAAAGAATTGATAATGATTAAGTGCTACCTATGTACTATTTTTTTTTTCAAATAAAATTCTGAATTATAAAACACAAGACCTAAATTTGATGTGAGAAACTACATAGACGGTCTTGGGCCAGTTTTTTATAATTTGGATCTCGAGAGGAACAGCAAATTCGAAGTGTGTATTCCAGGTAGGCGTTCGTTAATCTTGAACGATATTTTTTAAAAAATTCTTTGAGAAAAATCTTTCATATTCGTATGTCGAGCTAAACGTAGTGGCCAAATTTATAGCAATTTTCATATTTTTCTGGGACATGTTTGGCCCAAAATTCTTCAGTGCATACCGTTTTATACATTTGCAAAGACATATCTTCTTGCGAATCAATTATCACTATATGATGTGATGGCTTTGACAGATTCAATAACTTGGCAGCGACATCTGTCCGTTCTGCCGCTACATCAACTTCGAATGGCGATTTAAGAAACGAAGATAGCTTGCCCATCTCTGTAAAGTCTTGAAATCTTGTAGCAAATTCGTTCTTAAGAACGGCCAGAAATTTTACAAACACTACAGTCTTCTTCAGAATGTTTTTATATTCAAGAATTTTCGGAAAATAAATAAATGCTTGTCTTGCAATATCCTTTTCAAAGATATCCAGCTTGCGACTAAAAGCAGACTCGCTTTGTATCAGATCATATATCAATTTTCCATTTCCTTGTACCTCTGCGCTGAGCGCATTTAAATATATATATTCATTCTTTTAGAAAAGCCACAACCAGCATATTGTGCTTAGTTGTGATGAACTCAAAGTGATTTCTGGCTCCCTGTGTATTTAAATTTTTCAAGAAAATTTTGCAAATTTAGCCATAAACGTTCAATAACTTGACCTTTACTTAGCCAAGCAACATTGTTATGTTGCAGTAAGTCAGAATACGCTGAAAGGTCGATGCTGAAGAGCAGAATGAGATCTCATAAAATTATTCAACTTGACCAGCCTGTTCATCACTTCTTTCAGTATAGCACCAAGTTTACCACAAAAGGTTACCTAGTGAATTATGCACTGATACGATATTAGACCTGGGTTTTTATTCCTGATTCTCTTCACTACACCTTTTTTTTGCCAATCTTTGCTGGGGTTGAAAGAACATATTTCCGTAAAAATGGTAGGTACGTAGTTCAACCTAAGGATGTTTCGTGCGTAATAAAGATTAAAAATTATTACTAATTCGCACAAGTACCCACGCATACACAGGCTAGATAGGAACCTGATCAAACCATATTAGTTTTAGGTACTTGTAAAACAAGTTAACTAGGAAACTTAAAATAAAATAAGTACTAAGTTAAATTCTATGTGGCTCAAAAATATTATTTCAATAATTGAAGGTGAAGTATATCTTACCTACGTATTGATTTATACTTGGTATACAACACATTACAATATTCGGCGGTCCCTAAATAGACCGCGATCCACCTATTGCCGACCGTTGCTAATCTCAATAAGTATGGAATTCCATGATCCCATGCAAGAATTTTGTATTTGTTAGTTGTAAGAATTTCAGTTCAAAGAAGCATATTTTGAAAATGTGTTTTATGTCTTCATTGAAGGAAAGAGAGTTATCGATATATACACCTAAACTGTTGCTAAATCCATCGTCAAATAAGCGCATTATCAAGATAGAGACGGAAGTTTGTTACTTCATTTTTTGTAGGTCAAATCCTAAGCATAGAGCTGCTGTTTGAATAAGATTCATTCGGAGGCCATGATTCTTGGAAAATGAAAGTGTATTTTCCAATTCCAAGTTCATGTTGGTGTTATAAGATATTATTAGATTGACATGACATATGTAATTGAAAATCATTAGCATATGCATGTACGTCGCACTGAAATTACACTTCTAGAAAGTAAAAAATTACATAAGAACAATAGTGGGCCCAGAATGCCACCATGTAGTACCAGAAGTTTCCTGAGTCGATGAGCGTAACAGATCATAACCCGTTGAGCTATGTGAGATAGATTTCAATACAAATTGAAAAACTGCTTTCAAACTCTATCATATCATTGATAACCTTCTACAGACATGTGCTGGTGCCATGCTTCTGTCGGAAACCAGGTTACCTGGAAGTATGTCAGCTGTATCCAAATAAAATTCGATTTGTTACGTTATTATTTTCTCAAAAATATTTGAGAATGCTGATGAAATATTAATTGGACGTGAGTTATTGGAACAGGTAGGTACAGCTAAATATTTTGAAAGTTGATGGAATATTAGAAATTTTCTAAATATCAGAAAAAATGCCTTGCTTCAGAGACTCGTTAAAATATATTTCACTTCATCGAGGCATTGAAGAAAAATAAGTGAAATCATTTTAATATTTCAATTGTCGATAACGAAAGCAAATAGCATTATTATTGCCATTTCTGTGACAGCTTTCATTATAGCACCCTCACATGATATGAGAACAATAGGTAGATACATACCATTTTCAATCCTGGGGTGTTTGCGGTGATTCACGAACGGTTCTCTTATCATTTTATCTTCTTGTTCAGTCAAATTACTGTCATCATACTATAATTATATCCGTTACAGTCTGTCGCACACATTTTTAATAAGTTTCGCCAATGCAAAGGTCTCGAAAAAAAGACATTCAAAACGCAAGAAATATCGTCGGAGATATTGCAATATATCCGCTGCTAATACCTTGTTTCTGTACTTACCTAATTGCATAAAATCTGAAATGTGGGTCACTTCTTTTCCATAGTAACAATTTAATTCATATACCTAGTTGATCATAAAAACGCTTCAATGTCATACCCGACCATTCACGTCGATGACTGGATTATGCTGCACGAGAATCCTGAAAACGAGATGAATTTATTTCTGTATCAAGACAGCTTGTCTAGTGCATGGGTATTTTATATAGTGTTCATTAGATGACCCTGATGACATTCCATTACATTCAATTGTTGATTGAAATTATCTTTATATGATATAAAACAGTCTTTGGCCGAATGAGAAAGATAAAATTTATTTTTCTCGCGGAAAACATATCTACGATTTTTATATTGAGCATCACAGAAAAATTCTATTTGAGAACAACGACAGTTTGAAAATAATGATTTACTTTGGATTTGAACCAGGGTTGCCAGTTGTATTGTACGTTATTTGGGGTAATTATATTCGCATGTTTTGATTTGCCAGGGAATCAAAAAAGTTTGGTCGTAAATTTATTTTCATTTTTGTAGCCACATGTTCAATTTATTCAATAAAGCTGTAAATTGACTTGAAAGCCATTACATAACAATTTTACTTGTTTGTTTAAAGTTTGAAATAATGAAATTCACAATTTTACATATTCATGGGATTATGATTAATCTTAGAAAACAAGATATATTCTTTGACTATGAAACAGGGAAACAAACAACAGTTATAAATGAATCTGAATCTGATAAAAATTATTTACTAATTCATTTTCCTTTTATAAAAAGTAAAGATGCTCTACAATTGTTCAACACTGATCTCAATTCAATACAGCGAAAAGTAATAAAAAAATATGTTGAAAATGAGAAATTAAACTTCCCATGTTTGTTTTTACCACTTATATGTTATATTTCTCATTTTTTATTTACAAGTGGTAAACAAACATAGGAAGTTTCATTTCTCATTTTTTATATTGACCTCCTACCACGTAGTAATGGCTACGTCCATCAATTTATTAAAAATGGGAAAGAAAGTTTTTGGTTTCTTACTACTCCATCTTGATTTTTTTTGTATCAAGATGACGGAGTAGAAAGCCAAAAACTTTCTTTCACAAAAATTAGTCACTCCTGAAAATATAACCCTTTCAATAAAAACAAGATTCCTTCTGTCTGGGATTTAATCGAATGAGTAAATAAATGTCATTATGATGTTATCGATTACATGAGTATATCAAACTTATTCCGTGACATAAAATCGTAATTTATGAATGAATTGTGTAGNAATCTCAATCAAAAACGACGAAATTTCTTACAGGTGAGCATTTTCTTGAGGTCTGCGAACAGCCATAGTCGCTGGAAGCCAAATCTGGCAAATATGGTATATGCGGAGCAATTCGAACATATTAAAAAATAATGGAGTTCTAACCGTGAAGGCTAAAGCTGATATTCCACCTCATTTGCAAAATTTAGATGAATTCAATAATTTTTTTGTTAATACCTCACCTAATATCTCTCCATCAGTTGATATTACATCCCAATATAATAGTAATGTACTTCATGACTCCAACTTTGAACTATCCCCAGTTGACCAGTCTTTGGTATCCCAAACTCTTTGTCCAATAAAAAATTTATATCCACACCACTACTGGCCTTGAACCTGTTACAATATTGAATAAACTATGTTAAGGTCTGAAAAGACTGTTCAGTAGGTGCAACCCAGTGTCGTCAATAAATTGAAATAATCAACAATGTAAGCACTTATATATCTATACACCACTATATGTAATAACAGAGGGTTCTTAACTCAACTGATTACCTGAATTTTGTTTACCTGGGAAAATGTTGGTACACCAATTTGAAAACCGGCAAATAGACTAGGTCGATTTGGTCATTTAACAGATTACATCCGCAATGCTTATGCTTATGAATATCCACGGATTTCAAATAATTGAGTTTCCAACCATTTTTTGCATAATGCAAAATTTCCGTAACTTGTGGTTGCATTCCAAGGAATGGTTTCAAAACGTCGAATCATTTTTACCTATTCTGAAGGAACCTTCACGTTCAGCATATAGTTTTGGGAAATTTAGGCCACATCGTCCCAGATAAACACTATTACACTCCGGACACTTAAGCTTATTAACTCCAGATTTCTCCACCTTGTCCAAAATATGTTAAATTTCTTGATTCAATGCTACACAGAGCATTTTCGTTACCTTTGTTGGCTAACAATCTAGATAGGAAAATTGAAATAATTATACAGATATGACATAATAATGATTTTCACACAGACTGAATCCAGAAGTTAGTCAGAAAACAAAGCCTCAAATTTACGTAAAGATTAATATACCCCGAGATCAAACAACCAGAAATCAAGAAATTTGTAACTTCAACATACTTTGGTAAACGAACAGAGACTATTACGGGATTTTTCAGAAATACAATGTGGAAGTAGTATTCAGACCACAAGCCATGTTATCTAATTTCTTTTTCAATGCCTAAGATGAAGTGGACAAGATGGGGAAATCTGGAATTTATAAGCTCAAGTGTCTGGAGTGTGATAGTGTTTATTTGGGACAAACTGGCCAAAATTTCTCAAAACGGTATGCTGAAACTGAAGGGTCCTTCATACTAGGTAAAAATCATTCGACGTTTTCAAACCATTCCTTGGAATACAACTACAAGTTCCTAAATCTAAACGATACGGAAATTTTGCACTATACAAGCAAGGGTTGGAAACTCAACTATTTGGAATCCTTGAAAATTCATTAGCATAAGCATTGCGGATGTAATTTGCTAAATGACCAAATCGGCCTAGTCTATTCACTGGTTTTCATATTAGCGTACCTACATTGTCACAGTTACTCACTGAAGTTAAAGACCGTATGTTAATACCTACAGTGCCCGTGGGTTGGGCTATCTATTGGGCGCGTCCCCAGGTGGCGGATAGGGGAACGGCCAGGGGACTGGTGGCCCTGTCCGGAAAGCAATATGTGGCCTTACGGACGGGATCGCCGGACTCCTGGTCAGTGGCAGTAATAAGTAGGGCGAGGGAACTAAAACTCCCCAGAAGCCTTTGTGAAACATGCCACCGTGGACTAGCCTACCCAAGCTAAAGTGTAAGGAATCGTACCGACAGCTGAATGGCCGCATGTTTATGTGCGGTTACGAACAATCCCCTTGGGGAACCGGGCGAAACCTCATTGTAATCAGCCTTCCTCTGATAATGCGGGGCTCTGCCAGAGGTGACCAACTCTTCCCTTGCTACTCGTGGGAACAGACATATGTGAAACAAACAAAACAGACACAACAAAAACTAATCCCAAGGCTGGACAGAAGTGCTCACCTCAATCTATGGCGGTGGCTGGGGATGAACAGAAATGTCCACCACAATCTACCGCTCGGAATGAGGCTGGACTTAGCAGATCATCTCGTGATGTAATACAAAGGCGGCGCATTTGCGGCACCGAGGCCAAAAGGAGAGAGTGAAAGAGGCAGGAGTGGCAGCAATTATAAGTGCACCCTACTCCTCCTCCACTCCACTTCCAACAGCAAGGGCACTTCCTGCTGCGGGCGCCTTGAATAAAGGCAAGGAACCGGCTGCCCTTGCAAGAAAGCGCCCTCACTTGAACACCTTCACTAGGGGAACCCCAGGAAGGTTGAAGAAGCCGCGCAACGACAGTAATGTCGCTGCACCTTCCAAAACCTTCGCCACCGTGATATACCTTAAGGTTGCCAAAGAGAGTATGTGTCCGGCCTACACCTGCCGATATAAAGGAGATGTTTCCTAGTGACCTATGTATACCTTCCTGGAAAGGGCAGGATGGACGATGACCTAGGAGAACAACTCCTCGGGAGGATGTACAATGTGGCCTAAGTGTTGTGAGCCTAAGTGTTGTGAGTCTACACTCACCCTCCCTACTCTGTTTAAAATCTGTTTAAAATCTGTTTTTCCCTTAACCAGCTGTCGCACCCCTACGAACGACAACCCTCAGAAGTCGAAACTTGTGCGAGCTAAGGATTATCGAGGTCTTACCTTTTAACGTGTGATTCCTAAGACGGGTTGGTTTGAAAATGTGCTTATAGGACGAATCTGCAGTAAGTTACAAATACAAGTGGTAAAAAGGAAATTTCATTTTTCATTGTCATGATGATTTTCTACCACGTGGTAAAGGCTACAGCCATCAGTTCCAAAACAGTGCAGAAGGTTTCTTCATTGTCCTTCCGGATTCGGCTAACCTTTTGTAAGTTTCACCATTTTCAAGTTAACAATGGTGGGGATTAGCTAACAAAAGGTCTCTGTATATGTAGCATAAACTATGTGTGTCTCGACAGTTCCGAGGACCATATCTGTCGGAAATTGTGCTAATACTGGCCAATTCAATACAATAATATAACCTAATCCGATTGTAACTTGAAAGTCTGAATTCAAAGGTATATGAGGTTTTTCAATATGTTTTTTTGGGATTGTTTATCGACTATAGTTGGTTTATTATTTACGAATTTAATTGTTTTATTATTATCGCCATTTTCAATTAATTTGATGAATTTAAAGTAATCTTGTTGTGCTTTTGTCTGGTCATTGCTAATTCTAATACTTGGTACAACACTTTTTGTTTTATTTTTTAATATATATTTTGCATCATCAGCTGATTTTAAATCAACTTTAATGGGCCTATTCTTATTTGGGACATATTTTCCTAATCTGAATATTTTTAAATTATTATATATTTCTGTATCAAATACACTGAGAACATTTTTGACAAGCTCTGAGTCTTCAGCTACTCTTTCAGCTTGTGTTTTCATTTTCGATTCCTCCACACTGAATATATCTAAATTAGAAGCACGTGATTGCCTTTACATCATTTCGTTTATCAATTCATCTCTGTTATCCACAGGAACATTTCCTGGCCCATTTACACTATGTGTCATAGAGGTTTTGCATTCCTTAATTTGTGCCTCTAGATTATCAATTTCCACCAATAGCGCAGGAATAAGCTTAACTCCATTTTAGCAGTCTTCACAGTAGAACTTAAACGTTCGCTTGCCTTTTAGATCCAAGACTTTGAGTTCGCTGACAGTAAGTCCGGAACATCCTCTATGCGTAGATCTTTGACAGCTATAACATTGTATAATTTGGTCACCAGTTGATAGTTTGCATACACAACATTCCATTTTGATAAACATCAAAATCTTGTTCTAAGCAACGGTACTATGCTACTATCCAGCACCACAAAAAGTATGTTCACTACAATACACACTTTAACTCGCCTCTCTTAGGGTACGCCTCTGGTAGGGTATTACCTACCCAATTGTATTAACAGATGTGGCTAATTGCAAGAAATTTATTTAGTCACAATACGCTGAATCAGTTTTAAATTCTTATAATTCAATTTTCACTAACTCAAAACTTTCAACTAATTTTTATTTTCATACAGTTCACCGAGAAAAGAAATCGATAATGATTATTAAGATTTGAATAGCTCCAAGTGAAAACTTGTATACTATATGGGACAAATAAACAGTTGAATAACCGTGAATGAAATATTTTTTCTGAACCTGTCTACCTATAGCAGACACCCAGTTCATTAGTTTACTAACGGCTATTAAAATATTGACGTGTACAACGGTATTCCAAACGAAATTAAAAAAATGAATGTGATTAGTATTAAGTACTACTATAAGAATGTTTTGTGGAAGCAATGAACCAAATAATACATTTCAGATTCCTAAGAGTCCCTATTATTGTTTTTTTTTTCAAATTCTGTATTATAGGCATATGCCATAATGTTAGGCTTGTGTGAGTTTAAGTGGTAGAACAAATCAGTAATTATTGATTTGAACTTCGCCTTTGACGTCAGCCCTATGATCATTAATGTTCCAATTGTAAAAAAATATGTATGTATCCTAGATTGAATAAAGACACATTATTATTATTATTTCATACAATTTTGCCATCATTTTCATTTATTTGTGCAAGTTGCTTTGTCTTCATGAAGCTGCATTTTTTTTTTTCGTTAAATTAGGTCGTCTTTCCTCAATTTAGGCCTTCAAACGCTACAAAAACGGTACATAATATTAATTTTTGATGGTATTCCTTTTCTCAAGATAGTTTATGAATATTACACCACGCATATCCCAAAATAGCGAGGTCATAACCTTTCCAGCCCATTATAGTGCTTTCGAGCACTTTGGGCGAGGTTCACCAGTTGCTTTCCACTGAGATGATGATAGTTTTGAATCCGGAGTCAAGTAATGGATTCATGTTTCATCTATTGCCACTTATCAATGCAAAAATTCCGGTTTGTTATGTTTAAACATGGCCAAACACTGCTCAGAATCTTCAAGACGTTCTTGTTTTTGGTCAACAGGGAGCTCGAGCGGGACCCACTGTGGACAGAGCTTACTCATAGTCAAATGATCATGCAATATAAAGCCGACACGTTCTTTTAATATCTTTACAATGTCAGCCAGTTCACACAACTTCACTTTTCGATCATTCAAAACGACTTTGTGGATTTTTTATGTAAAATCAATACAGTTTATTGTATGATTTTCACTGTAAAGGGTTTTTCAAAAACCGCGACACGTGTTTCGCTATACAAGAGCTTCCTCAAGTGGTAAAAAACATAGAAATTTTCATTTCTCTTTTCATAAACTAAAAGTTACTTCTAAATTACAACTATTTTATTTCAAGCAATTAAGTTGAAAATAATTTATTTACAAAGATGTGTAGATCTTGCATTGAAGTTACTTTTAGATACAAAGTGGAAATAAGAACCACTCCAAAACAACTTTTTACAATTTGGGAAAAAATCAATTATTAAAAGCATAATAAAGGGCAAATTGAGATAAGTTTTTTTGCCAGCGGGTTATTATTCATTCAGCTATCCACAGAGTACCCAATTTTTTCATTCCTCAGTGTTCATATTGAATGGATATTTTAGTGTATTCGTATTTTTTCACCGCTCAATTGAAACTACAAATATTGGTGCACCAGTTTCAGCAGTTGAGATTTGTTTTAGAAAAGTTTCTGCTCTTCAAACATAATTTTTCAAATTTTAAATTACTGGAATAGTTTAACATATTCGCCAAAAACTAACCCCTCTTTATTCTGCATGTAAAACCTTCATCAAAGAGAAAGACTGTTAACTAGTAATAGCTCCATCTCGTAAACAAAGCTCCAAGAGGGAAAGAAACATCTTATGTACCAATACTCTTGACAAAAATCGAAATCATGAAAACGATATCAAGGAGAGACACATACGTAAAAGAAGATTTCGAAATAAAATTTCGAAACATTCATCTCTCCCAACATACCTACTCAGTAGGTTCTGATAAATGTCTGCCGGAAAACAACTACTTCCTCGACTAATTCCACGTGGGATTTCGAACTAGTTACTAGGTGACAGTCTTTCTTTAAGTTAAAAAGATTCATACCTTAGTTCCCAGGCACATTGTTGTTTGGGTAGAATCTTTCCTGCACCGATGAGAGGTAATACCTCAAAATCGGTCTGTAGGTGATCTAATTGAATGATTTCAACATGTTCCTACTGCTGGATAAACGAGAAACGTCTGCAAGACCTAATCTATGTGAAGTATCGTGCATGAATGTCTGTCGGATATAATTCAATATCCAAGGTGGTATTAGCCCGGGAGGCATTTACCAGAACTTTGTAGGTATGTTGGAAGAGATGAATATTTTAAAATTTTATTTCGAAATATTTATTTTCATGTACTTAATTATCTCTCCTCCATACATTTTTCATAATTTTGATAGTACAATTTGTTAGTACCATTGGCTCACATCGTGAATTACACTGTGTGTAATTACGATACAATTATGATGAAGGCGCACTGAAAGTATGTGAAATGACACTTATGAACTAGACTGTATTACATAAGTGTAAGGATCAACTGTCGGATGTTCGAAATAACCATCAAATCGTGATACACACTACAAACCTTTTGTCACGAATTACTACATACGCACAAAATTCGTATTGCCTATCCTGATATCGAAACAAGTAAAAGTAAAACTCCTTTTAATGACAAAAGCGATGGCTGATCTAGTTTAATGATACACGTAATGAAAAAATCAACGCTTTACCCTTCCACATGACTATATATAAAGCTTATGAGGAGCTCAAAGTGCACCACACATCACTCCAGTGAAACCAACCGTTCACTTTTGTTTTTGACTAGACATTTTTGCGAAAATGAAATTTTTGGTAAGTATAGTGATTGTGATTCTCGGATTTTGTTGGTCTACGTAGGGTGTGAGAATGAAAATGGTGTTCTTTTGAGGTGTACGTATCAAAATAATAATAAAAATGGGTTTTCATATTGTTACAATGTAAATTTTTGATGAATGAGGTGAATAATGAGGTGAATATAGTAAAATAATGATTTTTTATTATTATTGAAATTGGCCGATACTTGATGAAGATCCACAACTTTTTCAAGAACCACTGTGTTGTGAGATTTTCACTAGACAGTTTACAAAACCGCAGCACGTGTTTCGCTGTACAAAAGCTTCCTCAAACTCTTTCATACTGTTTTCATAATACTTATGCGATTTTGTAAATTGTCCAGTGAAAATCTCACAATGAAGTGCTACCTACTTGATTAATTATTGAAAAAGTAAAAAATGATTTTCTTTCAATTTTCATCGAAATATTCATCTAGAAGTCAGAAAAACTAAAAGTGTTTTCAACTGTTTTGTTCATGCCAGGTCAAAGAGATATTTATGCAATATTCAAAGAGATATTTATGCAATATTCTAAAGACAATTGATCGTAAATTTACCAAACCTGTAAAATGCAGTAGTTGCAGATAATTCTTTTTGGACATTTTTGAAATGACTTTACATGTACGCCATTATTGGGAGGGTCCACTTCAAAAGTCATAAAATCAAGTTATTTCGTGAAATATGTATATTTTTTTAGCTGTATCTATATACGTATCTATATACATTCCATAGTTTTATTAATAATTTTTAGGATTGCACAAAGGGCTGAACTTCCTTTCTTTCATTTTTCATGAATCCATATTATATCATAAATAATGAGATATGAACAATCACTTCTTAACTAGGTTGAGTCTTTATTACTTCTTTTTGACATTCTGTCTGATAGTTGAGTTTTTTTTGAAAAGTTAGTAATACCATAACTATAGTATATTTGCAAGTCCTACCAATATACTTGATGAAAATGAATTCAGAAAATTTTTCTTTGAACAAACATTTTTTTACTCTCAAGATATTTTGAGTACCCAATTTCAATATTCAAGTATGTATACTCTTGGAGATATTGTTATCAATGGCTCAAAACTATTTCAATCTACCAGACGTTTCGGCTCTGTATTGGAACATATTATTATTATAAATGAAAATATGCTGAAAATTATTTCACGTATTTTTGATAAGACCTACCGCCGAAATTTTGCATAGAAAGTTGGCTTTTGTTAGAAAAATAATTAGTTTTCGTATTGGGTAAATCTCATACTTCAATTAATTTTATATATCTGGTAATGGTCTTTTTCATAAACTGTTTGCATGTAGTTGTACTCCCCAAAACAGTAGAACAATCCACATAAAGGCGTAATGATTGCAGAGTGGCTGAAAACCTTTCTAGCTATTATATTCTACTATTGTAACCAGTCTTGTTTCAACAAAAACCAATGAATGAAAATAAAGATTATCGATATAATTGGAATAATTCAAATGAGAACAGGCTCGCAATATCTGACCTAGGATCTGATTGCAATTTCAATTTGAGTGGATCTAGAAGCAAAACATTTAACACTCTCACATCTATAGGCTGGGAATATTGTTTACATACATTTGCAACATTTCAGGTTCTTATTGTTGCCACCTTGGCCATCGCTTCAGCCTCTGAAGAAAAGAAGGAAAAACGTGGAGTCCTTGGTCTTGGCTATGGAGGATATGGTGGACTTGGCTATGGAGGATATGGAGGTATCGGTTACGGTGACTTGGGACATGGACTTGCTTTGGGAGGACATGGACTGGCTTTGGGAGGACATGGACTAGCTTTGGAAGGACACGGACTGGATTATTCTTCCTATTCTGCACCCATAATCACCAAATCCTATGCCGCTCCAATCATCTCTGCACCCATCGTAAAATCCTACTCCACTCCTATTTTGTCAGCCCCTATTATCAAATCCTACTCAGCTCCAATTTCCTACTCTGCACCCATCTTGACCAAGTCTTACGCCGCCCCAGTATTGTCCGCCCCTCTGATAAAGTCATATGCCGCTCCAATTTCTTACGGAAGTGGTCTATCCTTGGGGTACGGTGGATATGGAAAACTCATCCACTAAGGTGTTGGAAGTGATTTGTTTTTTGTATTATTTGTGCTGTACATAATATTTTTGAATGTTTTCAGTTGATGAATAAAATATTGTATATCGTATCGGTATTTTTATTTCGATTAGATAATATTCTCATGTTAGTTACAATATATTTGAAACTATTATTTTCAACATGCCATGTAGATGATGCAATGGAGGCAATTTATAAAACAACTAGAAGTAGAAATAAGTTCAGGAATGAAATTGCAAAAGGAAAAATCAAAATTCGATATGAAACTTCTACAAAAGTAGTACTGAAGATGGCTAAAATTATCTGTAGAGCTAGCAATTAGAATAACAGAACAAAAAAACTGTTGTTAGCAGAAAAATAAATGCAAATCAAATATCTAGTGCTACTAAACATGGATTATTCACCTCATATGTACAGATTGTACATTTTTTAAAAATCTCGAACATAAAATTCCACCTACCTACCCAACAGAAGAGACATTTACAATTTGAAAATACGAAAAATTTGTCCAAGAGATCTTTCTCATGATAGACAATGTTTCATGATGAATTTCATTAGTTCAGACGTCCAGTGTCTAATAATATATAAAATGATTTGAAATCCCTAAAAGAACCAATACAAATTAAAAACTTTCAAAAAGGAGCTGAAAGTAACAAGTATATAAGGCAAAAAATCCTGATACTACTGATAAGTTTCCTATCTAGCCTGTGTGTGTGCGAATCAGACTGATGCGATTTAAATATTTTCAAATCTCTGTTATAGGCATACGAAACATCTTGTACCTACGTTGATATGGATCCCTAAAAACGGTTTTTGTCAGAATTGATTGAACAATATTGTTTTACGCTGCCTGATAGGCCTACAGCGGTTCCAGTGTACCTTATATACAATAAAACTGTCGTTATTGTTAAAAGTGGAAAATTGAAGCGACAATACGAAATAACTCATCAGTTCTTACAAAAAGAGTACAAAATACTAGTTCGTTGCATGAGCGACCAAGAAAATTCCACGGAAGCAGCGTTACGTGTGTGCTGGATGCGTAATAAATACCAGAAACCATTTTCAGATTCTGAGATAGTGAAGAAACGTATGTTGGCAGTAGTTACGTCACTTTTTGAAGAAAAAAAAGATGTTGTCCCTGCAATTCAAAGTATTTCATTGTCAGCGAGAAGTAATATACGAAGAACTGAAATTTTAGCTGCGGACATTAAAAACACTCTACTTGAACTTCTGCAAAAGGCACCTTGCTACGCCATAGCACTTGATGAATCGTGTGACATTGTTGATGATGAACAAATGTCAATTTTCGTAAGATATTTTGACATTGAGTGCCAGATTTTTAGGGAAGAGTTGTTAGCAATATTGCCGTTGAAAGGTAATACTCGAGGAGAAGACTTATTCGAAGTCATTGATAATTTTATTACGAAATATAACATCAGTTATGAAAAAATGGTTTCGCTTTGAACTGACGGCACCCCAGCAATGATTGGCAATGATAAAGGTGTAGTAAAGATAATAAGAGATAAAAATTCAGGTCTAATATCGTATCAGTGCATAATTCACCAGGCAGCCCTTTGTGGAAAACTTAGTGCCACACTCAAAGAAGTGATGGGCAACTTGGTCAAGTTGATTATTTTTATGAGATCCCATTCTGCTCTTCAGCACCGAATTTTCAAAGAGTTCCTTTCTGAATGTGTTTCTGCGTTTTCTGACTTACCACAGCACAACTATGTTCGTTGGCTAAGTAAAGGTCAAGTTATTGAACATTTCTGGCTAATAAAAGAACAAGTACGCAAGGAGCCAGAAAGCACTTTGAGTTTATAAAAAACCAGCGAAATATGCTGGTTGTGGCTTTTCTGAAAGATATTTTAAAATATTTGAATGCCCTCAATACAGAGTTACAAGGAAATGGAAAATTATTATGTGATCTAATACAAAGCGTTTCTGTCAATTTAACGTCTCAAATTACTTCCTAAACAATATTATTATCGACCTTCTGATGAACATTCGGTTTATATTTATAAATGTTGCTTTGTAAAAATATAACTGTGGCAGTTACCTGCAAAGCTTTCGCACTGAAAAATATGAATGAAAATGATGAGAAAAATAGTGAGAATCAAAATTTGCTGAATAGATTGAGTGAGTAGACGATTATTGATATTATTTTATGCCTAATATTTGAAAAAAAACTAATGGTTAGAGAAACGACAAGGTTCCGCACTTTCCTGCGATTGGGTGACATTATTATCAGGCTGAGATTCGATGTATTAATTCATATTAATAATAATAAATGGTACTTTTCTTACGCGAAGTGTATTGCTGAGAATTGAATGTAACTAGAATAGACTCTGCTGTTAATATTTTCTTCTCCCGGAGGATCCAGTCCTCTCTACTCGGGAAAAGTACTTTATATAAGGCAGTTCGTAGTTAACAGTTGGAGGCATAAAGTCATAGGTCATTTCCACATGGTAGTACAGTCAATAAGGAGTAATATCTTGAAGTTAAGTACCACTTACGAGAAGAAATTCGAAGAATATTATGTCTGAAATGAAGTATTGTCAAAATTTAGAATTTTTGTGGGTTATATCGAGTCTTATTTTGCAGCAGTGTAGTTGAAACTTTACTGAATAGGCTAAATAATAATGCATTTATGAAATCTTTTTATAATTACTTTTTTATTACTTTGTGAAATAACCCCACGTGGCATCATTCAATCATTTAGCAGCGAGAATAATACTGTCGATTTCGGCGGAACTTGCGCGAAATTTCTACAACATTCGATTATGATAGTTAAAAGCTAGCTGCGAGCATATCGAGACAGTCAAGTGGACGTTACAGTGCGGCACGCGAAGTGATTTAGTAAGGCGATAGACATTCAAAAAATAGTAAAATTTGGTGTCAGAAGTGGGATAATTGACTGAAAATTTTCTGTTTTATGGTAAAAACGATGAGTGTCGATTACGAAAAACTCAAGAAAATGTTCGAGGCTTTGCAAGCGAGCCTGACAGAGAATGAGAAACGCAGAAGAGAGGAAGAACAATGACGCCGAAACGAAGATCGTGAATTGCTCCTAGATATTCCGAAAAAACAAGAGGAACATCGTTAATTATTGGTAAATATTCAGAAGAAACAAGAAAAAGACAATAAGATGTACCTTCATTTATTTGAAGATTTGAAATCTTCCCAAGTGAGTAAAGGGGATGTACAGGAAATGATTCAGGAAGAATTTGAGAAAGTATTTTGGGAAACAAAGGAGGAATTGGAACAAATAGTCGATGAAAAGTTTGATGGGGTTGAAGGGAAACTTGAAGAGGATGTTGAAAGAGTCGAAAGGAAATTTCAAAAGGAGCTTGGAGGAGTCGAAAAAAATTTGAAGACGTGATAAGGTAGCGGGCGGAGACTCCTTTATGGACAGCTCTGATAGGGAGATAAGCTCCCCTACCTCCCGCCGCTTCGGGTTCCCTCTGATCCGGAGGGTAGCAACCTGTAAGGGTCCCTTGTCCAGTGATACGGACAGACAATTTGAGGAATCACCTGATCATGATGTGATACGGTCGTTAACATCCTCTGAGGGTGGCACTACGAGGCAAGACATCATCGTAGCGCAGAAAGAGGATCCCGTCTTGAAAACTGTACGAGAATGGATTGCCAAAAGAGCGATACCGGAATGGCAAGAGATTTCCAAGCTGTGCCATCAAGCACGGCTTGAAAAAGTCTAATGGGACTCCATGAGCCTTCGAGAAAGGCTCATGGAGTCCCGGGAAAGTCCGGATGGAAGAACCCACAAATTTCAGATGATCCTTCCTAAGACGTGTTTCCCGAGTATCCTCGAACAGATTCACGATGGTCGCACTGGAGGGCATTTCGGAGTAAATAGAACTCCAGCGAGGGTGCGTGAAAGGTACTATTGGGTCAATTGCCGTCGAGACGTGTAAGAGTGGTATAAGCGCTGTGACCTGAGCTCTTCGAGAAAGGGTCCGAAGACAAGGCAGAGAGGAAAGTTGAAGCAGTACCTCAGTGTGTGCCCTTTCGAGAGAATCGCAGTCGACATATTGGGACCATTCCCTATGAGGACATCCGGTAACAACTACCTTATGGTTGTGATGGATTACTTTTCCAAATGGCCTGAAGTAGTAGCCTTACCCAACCAAGAAGCTAAAACGGTGGCAGAAGCCCTGTTGCAGAACGTAATTGCCAGACACGGAGTACCCCAAGAACTGCACTCGGATCAGGGCCGCAACTTCGAATTGGATTTAAGGAAGCAAATGATGACTCTGTTGGGAATAAAGAAGACAAGAATAACTGCTCTTCACCCACAATCCGATGGAATGGTTGAGAGGCATAATCGCACCATCAACCAAAGAGACTGGGATAAATTGGTTCCTCTTTTTCGGTTGGCATACAGGAGCTCCCAACATGACGCGACAGGTTACATACCATCCCTGTTGTTAACTGGTAGGGAACTGAAACTACCGATAGATGTATTGTGTAGCATTCCTTTCGATGAATCTCAAGAGGTACCTCTTTCAGATTATGTGAATGACCTGAAAGAGAGACTGGAAATTGTACACGAATTTGCCAGGATCAAATTACAGCTTTCCAGCAACAGGATAAAGATGAGATTTGACAAAAAGTCGCTACCAATGAGCTTCAAGAAGAGCGATGCAGTGTGACTCTACCAATCCCAACGACGAAAAGGTTTGTGTCCTAAGTTGCAGAGACCATGGCAAGGACCTTACTCGGTAACCAAAAAGATAAACGATCTGGTGTACAGAATCCAATTGTCACCCAGAAGGAAGCCTAAGTTTTGTCCACATAGAAAGACTGAGTTCTTACATGGGTCGTGATGTCCCCTCTTGGAATGTTGTTCGGGGCGAACAACCTCAGGGAAGGGGATAGTGTTGTAAATCATGCCCGAAAGAAAATAACGCCGGCCGCCGCTGGTAGCCATAAACCAGACATGACGTGACGCGAGTGAACGATGATTCCCCGCCACCCTAGAAGCAGCGAGAATAATGCTGTCGATTTCGGCGGAACTTTGGCTAAATTTCTACAACATTCGATTACGATATTTAAAGGCTAGCTGCGAGCATATCGAGACAGTCAAGTGGACGTTACAGTGCGGTACGCGAAGTGATTTAGTGAGGCGATAGACATTCAAATAATAGTTGAAGTTTTAGTTGAAGCATTTGTGCATTTAAAGTGAAATAAAGTTAAGTTTGATTATTCAGTGTAGTCAATTATTGGTCAACCCAAGGATAAAAACGTAACAGTACTCTAATGCAGAAAAATGTTTACAAGTAGTACAACCTTTTCGTAGAAGGTCAAAAAGATGAAAATGTTGAGAAAGTGAAGAAACTTTTATGGAGAATCGTCGAATCAATATAACAGAAGTTGCTGAGGATGTCGGCATTCAATTTTTTCGTAAATTTTGGACATGAAGCGTGTGGCAGCGAAGTTCGTTCTAAAGTTGCTGAATTGTGACAAAAACCGTCGCATAATTTGCTTAATAGGATCATAACTGGTGACGTTCCAATGGAAGAGCTCAGGAAAGCTAAGTCCAAAAAACCACGTCAAGTTCGATCAAATTTCAAGGTTTTTCTCACTGTTTTCTTCGATTACTGTGGCTTAATGCACCAGGAGTTCTTGTCACATGGTAGTACGGTCAATAAGGAGTAATATCTTGAAGTTAAGTGCCACTTGCGGGAAGAAATACGAAGAGAAAATCTGGTATTGTGTCTGAAATGAAGTATTGTCAAAACTAAGAATTTTTGTAGGTTATATCGAGTCTTATTTTGCAACAGCGCAGTTAAAACTTTACTAAATAGGCTAAATAATAATGCGTTCATAAAATCTTCTTCTAGTTACTTTTTTATTACTTTGTGAAATAACCCTACGTGTACTTTTTCAAAAGGCGATTAACATTTCTCATATAATCTTATATTTCCGTTGTGGTTTTCAGTAAAGGCATCATTCGATCATTTAGCTATTTATTGATTCTCAAATTTTTAACAACCAGCTGAACATTATGATTTTGACAAGACGAAAAAATGGAGTAAGTACTGGTGATACATTTCAATTTTAAATTTTTTATAGGAATCACCAACAGATCCTACAGTGCTAGGCAACTGATAAAGAAGAGACTTCCAATTTTATCATGGTTTCCAATATACAGTCTACAAACCTTTTCTCAAGACTTGCTGGCGGGATTCACTGTTGGTCTGACTGAAATACCACAAGGAATTGCATATGCTATAGTTGCAGGTAAATTCACTATAGTATTTCTCAATTCAAATGATGAGTTTTTTTGAAAGTTTCCAGAATAAAACATCGTTAAGGTTTTAATGGGATTATGGATAAGTGACACGTTTAGTCTGATGAATTAAAACGAATTTATTTTGCTTTGCATACACGTGGACTGTTCAAAAAATAAGGAAAATGTTCAAATTTCGATTAAAGATTTTTATTTCCTATGTTGTTATACCCGTCTCGAACACAATTTCACAGTTTCAGCTGTTCAGCATATTTAGTTTGTTGGTGGGACGCATTAAAGTTGCGTGTTCGGCGTTTTTCTGCTATCGAAAACAATGAATCGAAGAATGTACATCAAATTTTGTGTAAAAAAAGGATTGAGTACTCATAGACATCTATCTCTCCTTCTGTGGTCGCTCCTGATTGACAGTTTTCTTGATTCCCTCGACAGAAGAAAAGTAGATCTGCAAGCTTATGCAGATGACCTTGTCATCTTGGCAAGGTCCACGTCGGGAAGGGTAGCTTGTAATATCTATCCTCCAAAGCACGATGGGAGCAGATGTTAACCCCAGCAAAACTGTGATAATACCTTTCATCAAAAGTAGAAAATTGGACATATTGACATCAATACCAACCGTCAGTGGCCATATGTATCCTTCTAGATCTACCTCCTCTCCACATTTTTCTGGAGAGAAAGGCTAGATGGACTGCATGTAGACTTGTGCACATTGCCAATTGCATATATCAATTTAATGCAGAGTGAAACAGCATTCTGGAAATCACCTCCGACTTTATGCATCCAACTGTCAACTACGAACTGCCTTATGAAATACTGTTTTCGAGTAGAGAGGACTGGATCATCATAGTTGTTGGTTCACAGATGGATGGAAAATACCTTCAGGTTCTGGTGCAGGTGTTTTCAGTCGCAGACCCAGGACAGGAACCTATTCGACTGTATTTCAAGAGGAAATTTACGCTATTGAATTGTGTGCGGAGAGAATGGAAGAATCCAACCTCATACACAAGTCAATAAAAATATTCTCGGACAGTCAAGCGGTGTTGGACGCTGTTAGCTTCCTACCGAACAACGTCTAAATTGGTAGCCAATTGCCTAAAAGGACTCTCCTCGATAGGAAGACAAAACATATTGTCTCTGGTCTGGATTTCTGGCCATACTGGCCTGGAAGGCAATGAGGCTGTTGACTCCCTTGCAAAGGAGGGTGCTGCAAATAGCTTCATCGGACCAGAACCTGTCATTGGCATCGCTTTAGTCTTTGCCAAACATAGATTAAACACCTGGCTGGTAAGAAGCTTCATGGACTTCTGGCAGAATCTTCCAGGATTGGCTCACTCCAAGGCGTTTATTCGCCCTTCGAAGCTTAATACGAAAGAGTTGTTGGACTAAAGTAGGGATGAACTATGATGTCCAACAGGCGTTCTCACAGGTCACTGTCATTTGAATTATCATATGGAACACACTTGCAGACCGGTTTCAGGCTGTTTGGCCACTCGTCAGTGTTGTTTGGCCACTCCTTCAGAGTATCATTCCTCGAACTAGGCTGAAGCCTAGACAGATTTGTCATCGCCCCATCTGCCTGTGATCGAGGTAACCAACCGCATATCCGAAATTTGACCAATAATTTAAAATCTATTGCGGCAGTTGTATCGTCAACAGCATATGCAGGAATAACTTCAGTGAAAAATCCTGCACTGGATATAATCCAACGCTCTTCGTGGTGTTAGCCAGGGGAGTAGTTGTTTTCTGATAGGTGTCAGTCCATTAACCTACAGTGTAGGGAGTTGAGACTGGCCTGGCCTTTGGATGATTTGTATTATAGCCAGTCTTCAAATATGCCTACTGACTATATGTGAACTTTTTTTCTCTAATGTTAATGTTGTTTTAACAATTATTTCCAAGATGTATTATGAATTACTACTAAATTTGTTCACATTTATATTTTTTAGGCCTCCCTTCTCAGTATGGTTTATACAGCGGTTTCATGGGATGTTTCATGTATTACTTACTGGGAAGCTGCAAGGATATCAACATCGGACCAACAGCTATTATGGCACTGATGATTCAACCATACGTGGCTACTATGGGAGTAGCAGCAAGTGTTCTCCTTACTTTCATTTCTGGATGCATTATTTTCATTTGCGGACTCTTACATTTAGGTATTGTACCTACTCTTATCAACCAAAATACCCTTTACCCTGCCTCGTCCTGAACTATTTTTAATACGCTTTTATTAGCTTCACCTGTATGTATGTTTGTTTTTTACTCTCCTTTTCATTTCAAATTCATTCCCGTTTGAATACTCGGGATTTGTATTTGACACAATTATCGACATTACTGCTTGATCTATTCGCGGCCAGATGGCGATGTACGTAACCTTGATATATCGATATTATTGCTTGATCTATTCGCGGGCAGATGGCGCTGTACGTAATCACAAAATTAAAAAATTAGGAGTGCCTACGTGATTTCCATGAAACGGTCAAAGGACATATTTTAAATATAAGGTAGGGTTTAAAGAGTTAAGGTGTGTCTACACGCCCTATTGTAAAGTGTTTGGCTCGCTTTGAGATCTGATAACTTATCGAAAAAGATCGTTTTCGGTGGGATTAACTTTGATAGGAAAGTTATAGATATTTTGATTTGTTACATTATTACAAATTCAGCGCTGACAAACACATTTTTCTTCTTTACAATGTAGTTCAGATCATATTATATACATTTTTTTCATTAGGTGGTATATCATTTCTGATCAATTTTGATTACTTCCAGATTATGGAGAGAAGTTTATTTTATATCACCTCATCCTAAAATACTGTAGCTCAATTGTATTTGTATCAAAGAAGAGTATAACATTCAAAGATATCTTTTTGAAATGAATTGTTTAAAAAAATTAAATTCGATTTTACGTTATACGATAGTTATAATAAATGTAATTATCCCATTTCAAATGCTTATCACCTAAATATAAGTAGTCAGACAAGTTTTTTTCTAGGTTTCATAGTGGAGTTTTTCTCCTATCCTGTGATAGCAGGATTCACAACAGCAGCAGCTTTGAATATTGCCTCTTCGCAGATAAAATCACTTCTTGGGATAGCAGGGAAATCCGATACGTTTCTGACAGCGTGGATTTCCGTCTTCTCGTATATAAGAAACACAAAACTATCGGATTCCCTTCTGGGATTTTTCACAATTTTATTCCTAGTATTTGCCAAGGTAAGATGTGATCAAATATCCGTTGAGGTACTAGCTTAGAGAACATTCATGTCTTCCTTCATTGCATAAGATAGTTTCATACTTTTTTTACAGGAAATAAGACGATATGGTACTCTGAAAAAACGCGCAGACTGGACTAGAAGAAGAAATATGATTGGAATATGCATTTTCATGTTTTCTTTGGCAAGCAATGCAATAGCTGTGGTTTTCGGAAGTGTATTAGCTTATGTGTTTCAACAACGTGGTTATGAACCCTTCGAACTAACAGGTAATGGACGTAATTTAGTTAGGAAGTGTCTCCAAAGCCACTTCTTTGCATATATCATTTGAAATTTACACCCTGTATAATGTATTGTGATTTATTTCAAAGGGGAACAAGAATAGTGTCTCACGAGGCTCTTTCCCAAACTATTTGACAGAAAACTTATTTTCAAAGGTGGCATTTTCTGAGCTAGTTTTCAATTAAATCATGTTAACCCTCTAGCAGGGGCGGACAACCTCTAAAATCCTCAATGAAAAGGCGAAGCTTTTTCAAAAATACCCCATACTTGATATTTTCTTCAGTACTTTCGGAGAAATCAAGTGAAAACGTGAAGATATATAAGTATCAAGTTTTTCCAATAAAACATAAACAATTAATGAAAAATTATTTATCTCATTATTGCGATGAAGTCTGCACTCAAAGTTCTCTCCAATATTCTAAAAAATGTCTGCCTACATGCAGTTGTTAATCTTTTCTTCAAATCCTTCAAATTTCGAAAGTATGTTTCATGAACATAGGAAGAAATCTAGAGGCGATAAGTCGGTGAACATTTAGCAACTGTCTAACGATAGTATGAAGATCTAACTGCGAAAGTAAGGTGGGAGAACTCAATCTGGAAAAATCATGCATCATTTTATTATCGAAACTAGTTGTTTGTCTATTACAGTGGTCGCCAACCTCTTCAATGTGTTGAGCTACTTTGTTAATTTTGGAATAAACAGCGAGCTAATCACACGGAAGCCATGTAACGCAACGTAAATGAAATAATCCACAGTTAATTTATCATTAATGTATTTATTTTACTATTTAACTGGTAATACATAATACATAGGTACTAATAATAAACTAATAACTAATATTACTAGTACGTACTTGTTCATAGCTACATTCCTACCTATCAAACGAAGGTGTTTGAAAAATAAACACAAACTTTTATCCAGCAACAACGGCATGTCACGTATGATTTAAAAATAGTTAATAATAACAACAAAAAAGTAACGCACTATCATGAACATAAACATTAAAAAATAAAAAAGCATGTTNTAACGCGCTGGTCCGGCTGGTCGGTTCTAGCCGATTCTAGCTTGATGGCGTCAGCGGCAGATCGCTCACCGCAACGTTACCGCTGTTTATGTTTAATATTATGACAATTAGATTTTTTTGTGGAAATTTCGGAAGCTTCTCTGATTTTTGCAGTTTGTATTTTTTTTAAATTAAAATCGTTGTGAGAGCTACCAGAATTGCCTCCGCGAGCTACCGGTAGCTCGCGATCGACAGGTTGGCGACCACTGGTCTATTATGTCTTCAAGTAGATTCAAGTAGAGCTTCCCACTTAAGATTTCTATCAATAATAGTATTCCCAAGAATTCAGCTCAAAGTTAACTTTGTTTGGATACTGCATATGACCTTCTATAAGTTGAGGGTTTTCATCGCTGTCTCTTTACAGGATCATTAAAAAAAACGTACACTCATCATCAAAGCAAATATTGTGCCAAATATTTTGGTTTTCACTTATTGAATTCGTCATTATTATTAGAAAATTATTATAGAAAACCTTACTATTTTTTTTCAGGTGAGGTACCAGGTGAATTGCCGTCTTTTAAACCACCTCCCTTCAGTACAAGCTTCAATGGTACAGAATTTGGTTTGAAGGATATGATCGAAAATTTTGGAACAGTCATAATCTTTTGTCCTTTAGTAGCGGTTTTGGAACATATTGCTATTGCCAAAGCTTTCAGTGAGTTAAAATATATTTATTGATTTTAAGTGCTAGGATCATGGTAGAAAGCAAGTTAGTTGTTGATAAAGCAAGAAAACTTCGTTGCTTATCAAGAAGTAATTTTCAAAAATGTTTTCTAAAAGAGTGTCACTATCTGTCGTTTTCACTATTTTGAATTTTATTTCTACTGTAAGCATTTTCAAATGTAAAGAAATCAACTAAATGTTCAAGCCAGTCTCGAATATACCTACACAGTACGTTGAATGGACTGACGCCTATCAGAAAACAATTACTCCCCTGGCTAATACCACGAAGGGCGTTGGATTATATCCGATAGGCGTCAGTGTAGGAATCTTCACAGAAAATTTCCTGCATATGCAATTGGCAATACAACAGAAAGAGTCGACTTTCAATTTTGGAACGGGCACAGTTTTTCTTCCTTATTCAGAGGAATCAGGCAAATTACGGATATGCAGTTGGTTAGTACATCATCCACTAGATGGAATGACATTTTGTTCTTCGCTCCAACTTAGGTAGATGAATGAAATACTCTGAAAGAAATCCGATTTTCGATTATGGAATATCATCGACTTTAGGTCGATGATGGCCACTATCTTGCACTGATGAGTGGCTATTGAGCCCGAAACCTGTCTGCAAGTGTGCTCATGCCAAAATTGAAGGTCGACTCTTTCAGTTGTATTGCCAATTGCATATGCAGGAAATTTTCTGTGAAAATTCCTGCACTGACGCCTGTCTGATATAATCCAACGCCTTTCGTGGTATTAGCCAAGGGAGTAGTTGTTTTCTGATAGGTGTCAGTCCATTCAACCTACTGTGTAGGTATATTCGAGACTGGCTTGAACATTTAAAGTTCATTTCTTTAGATTTGTTTACTGCCAGTCTTGAGCATTGCCCACTGACCAATAAGAAAGTTAACATTTTCTTCATCATTATCTATTTTATTTTCGTCAATTCTTCTCAAATCCCAAAATCGTCGAAATATATTTTTTAGTTTGATATTAATAGCTATATCATTCACAAATATAAAATAAAAATATTTCTAAATACCTGAATAGTTTAGTTTTGCTCAAAATGAATTTAATAAATTTTCTAATACATGTATTTCTAATACATTTTCATGGATTGTTTTAATTTTTCAGGGAGTTTGATATTGATTATATTGATAATGTTATTTGTGAAAAAAAAATGTAAAAAATACAAGAGAAAGGAAAGTTATTCTTGAAACCATATCCAACTTCGGATTTTAAATAAGATGATCCTTTTTTAGCGTTTAGGACATCTCCTGAATTTTGATATATTTCAGTTGTTTTCAATTTTTTCAATATAATTACTTTGCCTTTTCCATTCCAACTTCATTTTGTTGCTTCTTTACGAAATACCGAATTTTTGTTCACAATAGAGGAATTTTCAAATGGATTTTCATAAACAAATTTGCATTTCTTCTTTGATATAATTTTTGCAGCCCTGTCATGTCAGTTTTTCAGAAACAATAATTACGAAGAATAATCAGTCAATCAATCAATCAAAATATAATTTATTGTCCAAGAATAACAATTCTCATGACAAACCATATATTCACCATGATAACATGACAAATATACAGTTAGCAAGGAGATCATAAATACACATAAATTCACACTAACAATAAGCGGCATAATTACATATACAAAAGCAACAAGATTTACCACTAAGACAAATAACATTGAACAACACAACTAGGATGTGCCAATTAAATGAATAAAGTAACATGCCGAAAAAATAAAAAGAAAAAATGTTTACATTTTGTACATGAAATTACAAGGACTACCTCTAGATATATAAAGAATTAGGCATACGTTATATGACCGCCGCCAAAGATAGAGATCTCAGCAAAAAGAATCCTGAAAGTATTTTTCCAGGGTATAGTAGGCTCTCCCAACTATGAGCGTTTTTACAGAGTTTCTGAACTTGACTTCGCTTTTGATGACACGCAAGGTTAGGGGAAGGTGATTGAAAATTTTCTTGCCCTCAAAAATTAGAGAGTTGCGAATTAAGGTTGAGGAGGGAATTGGAAGCGAGATCAAGTGAGAGGAGCGAGTGTTATAGGTTGCCTCAGAAGTAATAATAGCTTGGTATTTCTTGTGCATGAGGTAAGCCATTTCCAAAATGTAGATACAAATCAATGTCACAATTCTATGTTGCATAAACAAGGGCCGACAGGATTCACGGTAATCAGAACTACATAGGTAAGTAACTAATTGCCCTTTTTTGGAGAGAGAATACTCTTTGAAATAAATACTGAGCACAAGTGCTCCAGAAGCAGATTCCATAACGAAGATGAGATTCTATTAGTGCGTAGTATACGTTCTTCGCTAATATAGAATAAAATTGAAAAAATTATCAATATCACAATTTCTCCATGACGGGAGGATCTGTTCCCATTTGTATTTTTTTTGTATGAGAGGAAAGTAGGAATCATAATTTGCTGTCATCTGGATTGTTGAACTATGAAATTTTCTTGACTCCCACTAGTTGGCTCTTAACTCATTTTAAATGATGAAAGTTCAGTTTATCTCAGTGTTTTCAAAATATGAATCATCGTTTTTGTTTGCTTATTCACATGTAGCTTGCCAAATGTGCGGAGTTCGATATGATCCTTCTCACTATATGCGCGTTAGAAGACGCGCAAAAGTTGCAATAATGATAGACGTCCTCGATTGGCGTTTGGTATCATCAGTTTTTTTTAAACAAAACACTAACTGGTTTCCTAGATTTGACAAGCAGTAGTTATTGTATGAATCAGGTCTCTGATACCATTTGTTTATAGATGATATTGCTTTGAGTCTGATGAATATTTTCAGCAAAGGGAAGAACATTGGATGCCACACAGGAGTTGATCGCTCTGGGATTTTCTAACATCATGGGATCTTTCGTCCAATCGATGCCTGTTACAGGCTCTTTCACAAGAACTGCTGTAAACAACGCTTCCGGGGCAAAAACTCCCACGTGCGGGATTATAACTGGTATCATGGTTCTACTAGCGCTGGGTTTTTTGACTTCCACTTTCAAGTACATCCCAAAAACCACTTTGGCGGCTGTTATTCTTGTAGCCATGTATTATTTGTGCGAATTTCATGCATTCATTCTACTTTGGAGGACTAAAAGTGAGTATATGTAGGTGAATTCGTTATCTTATATACCTTGTGTTGATATTCTTATCATAAATAAACTTCATAGAATACATAATTCAAGATGCTATTCTTTTATTTGACAGATTCTGCAAAAAAAACTAATTCACACTATATACACTACATACACACTATATACACACACTATATACAAAAGGCATATTTGGATTAGTTCATACATTTCTGACAGAAAACAATTTGTAAGAACGTCATCTAACTCGGACGTGGGGGAGATAAATTGTGGAGTACATCGAAGCTCTGTGTCAGGTCCCATACTGTTTCTGTTATACATTAATGATTTGACCAACATATCGATTACATGAAGCTTTACCTTATTTGCTGACGACACCACATTAGTGTGGCATGACAAGGACAAAAACAGTCTACATAAACTGTAATAGAATTATTTCTCTCCTTGTTGCAATTTCTACCGGGGGTGCATTGTTGAGATGCAGTACTTAAAATGTTGCATTTGAATGCAGTTCCAGTATACATTATATCAGTTTATCTCACTTTATCGTGATTGAATAAAAATACTTTGAAGAATTTGGTTATAATTCGTATGTTCCTGCCTCATACCCATTGTCGACTTGATATCACTATGGTTTTAAAAAAATCTACTCCAAACATTGAATCACTTAATATATCTAAAACCTACGTTTGAAATCAACTAAATACAAATTATCTACCAGAAATTCAACAATCAGTAAAACATGTAAATTATCATTTCAGAAATGGACCTGATCCCTTTGACCGTCACACTTTTGTGTTGTTTACTGATCAATCTAGAATACGGAATTCTAATAGGAATAGCGACAAATATTCTCTTCGTGCTCTATTCTTCTGCCCGACCTAAAATCGAAATAGAGGAGCTGACCGGAGACACTTACCTCGTGAAAATCAAGTCTGGACTTCATTTCACCGCTTCTGAATTTATGCGGGAACGAATCCTTCAGAATTGCACAGTGGAGAAAACCACGGTCGTTGTTGATGGGGAATACATGGGGAATATCGATGCTACGGTAGCGAAGGTAAGTGAAATGTACTTTTTTGAGGGGTTTTCAACGAGTCGCCCACCATAATATTTTTCCCCTGATTCGCTCTAATATTCAGTTGAAGAATCCCAAACACCCGAAATGGGTCATTTCTGTAAGGTCTTTCAACAGGGACTTCCGAACTCTGATAATTGATAATAATAATAATAATAATAGTCACAAGAGGTAACTACAGTGAAAAACTCTCTCCGCGGCAAGTATCAGTACAAACTTCGACAGATCTGGTCATCGGAACTGTCGGGGAAGAACAAAGTTGCTGCAACAAATATGCTTGCCGATCCAATTTTACTCTACTCGTTTGGAGTAGTGAAGTGGACTCGGGAGGAGCTGTATCAACTCGACGTAAAGACCCGAAAAATGATGCATCTCTATAGGAGTTTGCATCCCAAATTGTCCGTTTCAAGGTTGTACTTCCCCCGACAACAGGGAGGCCGTGGACTTTTGAGTTTTGAGTGTCTACATGACAGAATAGTACTGGATACAGCTTGTAAAGTCGTCAGGAGTTCGGATCCCCTTCTCTGCATGGTCCGTGACCAAGAGAGAGCAGGAATTGGAGCATTTCTCCTTAGGGCAGCTGCCCGAGCAGCTGATGAACTCGGTATAGTTTTCGACTCTGAACGAGGTGACTGCAACTCTGTCACCGAGTTGGAACCCGTTCAGCAAAAAGCTCAGATAAAAGCCGCAGAGATCACTTTACTTCTGCCGACACACAAGGATAAGCCAATGCATGGGAACGAGAAGTGCCGAATTTATTGGAACTATTCGTTCCCCACCCTCAGGCTCATGCAAGCTGATAAGCCTGATGTAGTCCTTCTCGACCACCAGACCAAAACAATATTTGTCGTGGAGTTTTCAGCTCCTGGCGAGATGAATATCGTCAGAAAAGAGGAGGAAAACCGGATAAAATATCGAGATTTTGTCTTCGAACTCCACAGACTCTATCCAGATCACTCTGTCAAGATGGTTGTACTGATTATTGGAGTCCTTGGTGGAATGATGTCCTCTCTACTCTCGAATCTTAAAATTATACCTGCGTGCCGCACTAAGGCAGAAATCTTAGCCGCACAGATGCAGAAGGCTGTCATTCTTGGCTCACTGCGCTTGCTCAGGGCACATGATTGTCGGACCCAATGATCACTTACCCCACGGTGTGGGGAGTGGTCATTGGTTGATAATGCTGGCGCGCCCTCCCGAATGTATCGGGGCTTCGGGGGATAGGGCCTGATCAGCGCACACTACGGTGAAAAAAAATATTCTACTCGTTTGGGGTAGAGTATTATTATTATTATATGTATGCTGATAGCATGTCCAGAATATGCGGTCTCGGCCTATATCCATCGACATAACGCGGCCTTGAGAGTGATATATTACCATCTACGGCACTCTTACGGTATTGACGAGACACCGGTGTTGCCTTACGCTCCGGGGGATATTGAATCCGTTGTGGAGAACGAGAAGTGCCGAATTTATTGAAACTATTCGTTCCCTTCCCTCAGGCTCATGCAAGCTAATAAGCCTGATGAGTTCCTTCTCGACCACCAGAGCAAAACGATATTTGTCGTGCAGTTTTCAGCTCCTGGCGAGACAAATATCGTCAGAAAAGAGGAGGAGAAACGGATAAAATATCGAGATTTTCTCTTCGAACTCCGCAGACTCTATCCAGATCACTCTGTCAAGATGGTTGTTCTGATTATTGAAGTCCTTCGTGAAATGATGTCCTCTCTACTCTCGAGTCTTAAAATCATACCGGCTTGCCGCACTAAGGCAGAAATCTTAGCCGCACAGATGCAGAAGGCTGTCATTTAAGCCACGGTGTGTGGAGTGGTCATTGGTTGATAATGCTGGCGCGCCCTCCCGAATATATAGGGGCTTCGGGGGATAGGGCCTGACCAGCGCACACCATGAGAGAGCAGGAATTGGAGCAGCTGATGGACTCGGTATAGTTTTCGACTCTGAACGAGGTGACCACAACTCTGTCACCGAGTTGGAACCCGTTCAGCAAAAAGCTAAGATAAAAGCCGCAGAGATCACCTCACTTCTGCGGAAACACAAGGATAAGCCAATGCATGGGATCTTCTTCCACACCATTGGAGACCTTGGCTTATCAAAGCGCCTGGCGTTCACTTTTCGCAGGTCGAGTGGGCTAAAGTCGGAAACTGAGAGGTTCATCATGGCTTGCCAGAATGGTGTCTTCAACACCTTAGTCTTGGGTATAGAGGTTCCTGACACAAGGTGCAGGGCCTGCCGCGAGGTGCCCGAGACTCTAATGCACTTGCATATGCGGTCTCGGCCTATATCCATCGACACAACGCGGCCCTAAGGTCAGGCCCCCGAAGCCCCGATACATTCGGGAGGGCGCGCCAGCATTATCAACCAATGACCACTCCCCACACCGTGGGGTAAATGATTATTGGGTCCGAGAATCATGTGTCCTGAGCAAGCGCAGTGAGCCAAGAATGACAGCCTTCTGCATCTGTGCGGCCAAGATTTCTGCCTTAGTGCGGCAAGCCGGTATGATTTTAAGATTCGAGAGTAGAGACGATATCATTCCACCAAGGACTCCAATAATCAGAACAACAAGTGATCTGGATAGAGTCTGCTGAGTTCTAAAAGAAAATCTCCATATTTTATCCGTTTTTCCTCCTCTTTTCTGACGATATTCGTCTCGCCAGGAGCTGAAAATTCCACGACAAATATCGTTTTGCTCTGGTGGTCGAGAAGAACTACATCAGGCTTATTAGCTTGTATGAGCCTGAGGGTGGGGAACGAATAGTTCCAATAAATTCGGCACTCGTCGTTCTCCACAACGGATTCAATATCCCCCGGAGCGTAGGGCAACACCGGTGTCTCGTCAATACCGTAAGAGTGCCGTAGATGGTAATATAGCACTCTTAGGGCCGCGTTATGTCGATGGATATAGGCCGAGACCGCATATGCTGGACATGCTGATAGCAAGTGCATTAGGGTCTCGGGCGCCTCGCAGCAGGCCCTGCACCTTGTGTCAGGAACCTCTATACCCATCACGCGACTGCGGTAGACTAAGGTGTTGAAGACACCATCCTGGCAAGCCATGATGAACCCCTCGGTTTCTGACTTCAGCCCACTCGACCTGAGAAAAGCGAAGGTCAGGCGCTTTGATAAGCCAATTATTATTATTAAAAGGGTTCAACAAAAACACACATGATATTATACAGTATGTCTTTAAAACGATGATATCTCACGAACACTTTCTTTATTTTAAATTTAGAGAAAGGAAGCGCCTAATGACAGACCCTATAGATCATTCCCTAAAATGCACGTCGAAAATAGTGTTACAGTTCTTACGGGAGAAGTGTCGGATTCATTTTACCCCCAAGTTCCAATTCCTTTTTTCACAATTAATTATTTAAAACTTTTTTTTCAGAGTTTCAACGTGTTGAGAGACGAACTCAAATTGAGGGAACAAAAAATTGTATTTTTGAATTTCAAAGAATCTGTGATAGAAGCCTGTTTGGGTATTAATTCAAATTTGAAGGAATGTTTTCGAGACGACGGGCCGGAACAACTGACTGGTGAGTTGATTTTATGTTCTTCAACTTTTGTTTTGATGTTTTCCATAAGTTCAACTACAAATTGTATTCCTCCAATATCCCTTAGCAATCAAGACGTCGTTCTGCAACATTTTTTAAAAACAATTTCACTCTACAAGTATTTAGCCTAATTATTTCTCATCAGCAATTTCCTTGGCCTATTACTATTGACAATTACCACCTTTTTGGAAGTTCAAATTGAACCGTTTAATTATTATGTAGATTTTTTGGAAGTCCTAATAAACTATTTTTTTTTCAGCTCAACTTTAAGTGCCAAATATCCAAAAGATCACACTTAGGCTCGTCTACTTACTGTTTGGGGTCAGGTATTGTGAAATCCCCGAAAACTATTTTTAAATAGGTGTATACTTTTTGAAACTGCCCTTCGAGAATATGCCACCATGTTTCTGTTTTACTCAAACGCCGAACTCTATTGAGAGTTTTTACCGTTTATATTTCACTTTTGTGATATAAATACACGATTTTTTTAATTGATGTTTTTTTTTGAATCACAAATAGAAACCACAATATTTTGAAATATTTTGTTTCAGGCCCATGGTCTAATTGTAATATTTTAAAGTGTGGTAATTGCATTGGTGAGAAGTAACATTTTCTTTGAAGTTCACTGATGAAAGTTCATTTTGAAAAAGCTGTAAAATCTGAAAAAACTATACCTCTAAATTAATTGGTAAGTCATGCCAGTTCTAAACTGAGGAGTCTACTCAACAAATTCAAAAACATGAAAAATAGAGATAAAGGTCCTAAATATATGAGCCACAGTTCATTAGATTCTGAATCAACTCTAGAAAAAT